AGAGCTATTTCCTGCTTATCTGGGTATCGGCTCCTGGAGGGGATGTGGTCTACACTGTTTGTTTCATTCTTAGGCTTTTAGTTGTATCTTTTAAGTGGTAATTAAAGGGCTTTATCCCTCTGGGCCTATTGATGGCTTATTTGTGTGAATGCCAGACTTCCAGGAGTTCCCTAGCAGTTTTGGATTTGACCAATGGCCAATACCCAGATCAGCAGCATGTTTCAAGGAACTGTGCTGGACTTGTACTTTATTTGACTTGCTCATAACTGATCTTGACTTAGGAGTAGGTAGTGAATTAGCCAACTTTATGGATAATATCAAGCTATTTGGGGTAAACCCCAAAATGATTATGAGGAGCTCCAGAAAGATCTCCTTAAACTGGGTGAATTGTCAACCAAACGGCAAATGCAATTCAGTTTAAATATGTTTAAAGTGATGCACATTCAGGCAAAAACCCCTAACTTCATATACACAGTGAGGAAATCAGAGCTGCTTTCAATTAATCAGGAAAATGATTTCAAGGTCATAGTGGATACCTTAACGAAGATGCTGATTCAATGTGAAAAATGGCAAATTCTCTGCAAAGAATCATTTGGAAAGGAGTTGAAAATAAAACTTCTGATTTTGTAATAGCCTTGTACAAATCTTATTCTAAGTCCATATTTAGAATACTATGTATACTTCTGCTTGCTGCCTTTGAATAAGGATACATTTGAGCCAGAAAAAATGCAGGAGGAGAACCAAAACCATAGCTACTTATGTCCAATACAAGTAATAATACTCATCTTGAACACCTGCTTTGTGAGAAAAGGCTAGAAAGTTTAGGACTCTTTTGTTTAAAAAGAAGGTCACTGAGGGGAGCCATGATTAAAAAGTATGAAATCATGCATGGCAGAGAAAGATAAATTACACACTAGGCCAGTGGTCATCCAGGGAAGTTGATTGGAAGGAGATTTAGAATATATATTTTTTTTTCATACAGCACATAATTAACCTACGGAACTCATTTCCACAAGTTATGGGGATAGCTGCTAATTTGAATAGCTTTAAAAGGGAATTGGATATATTAATGGAAGACATGTCTGTCAAGAGCTGTTTCTCTGGAGTGGAAGATTCAGTGTTACCTCTAAGTTGGGAGCACCATGTTTCCAGATTCTAGTTGGAGAGGAACAATGGGTAGACAGGGGTATGTCTCCAATTCCCGCTTGGGAGCATCCCAGAGTCATCTGGTTGGCCACTGTGAGTGTCAGGACCTGCACAAGCTATTATTCAAAGCTAGTAGAAAGCATGTTAAGAATGTAGAATAGTGATATATAGTTAGTAGGATTAAATGTAAAAGAAAAAGAT